AGATCTTTGGTCAGGTCTAGTGTGCTTCCCGTAGCATCCCCTGAGGCCAGCGTGAACGGGGTTTGCAAGGCCCGTCCCTCCCCGGCTCCCCCAGAAGAAGTGTGTGTTGCTAGGGCAGCCTTCCCTGACCTTTGGTTGTGGATGAGGGCCAGGGAGGGGCCTGCCCTAGCAACACAGTTAATTTTGGACAAAATAACTGGACAAGCCCTAAAACTTGTAGGATTTACATTTTAAAAGGCTAAGAGTGGCCAGGTGTGGTGGCTCATGCCTGTAATCCCAGCACTTTGGGAGGTTGAGATGGGTGGATCACTTGAGGTCAGGAGTTCGAGACTAGCCTGGCCAACACAATGAAACCCTGTCTGTACTAAAAAAACACAAATTAGCCAGGTGTAGTGGCTCATGCCTGTAATCCTGGCTACTCAGGAGGCTGAGGCAGGAGAATCGCTTGAACCTGGGAGGTGGAGGGGTTGCAGTGAGCCGAGAATGTACCACTGCACTCGAGCCGGGGTGACAGAGCGAGACTCCATCTCAAAAAAAAAAAAAAAAAAAAAAAAAAGCTAAGAGTTACTGGTGGAGGAGGAGAGATTAGATCCCAGAGTCTCAGCAGGGGAGAGTTGGGTGTCTAAGCTCATTTAGGCTGGATTCTGGAGAAATTTGATTGGGAAGGAGTAGTGTTTAGGAAGAAGAAAGAGTTTTTAAAGCAATCACACTACTGCTTTGTAGAGTGATGAGAAAGTGTGTTTTAATAGATTTCGATGTGCACTTGTGAATGGAATCCCCATTTGCTGTGCTTTTGAGAGACTTCAGGCAAGATTTAAATTGCTTTTCAGTTCCTTTTTTTTTTTTTTGCATCCTTTGAATATAACTCCAGGCTGGCTTCAGGGTAAAAGCAAGCCTCCTGAGCTCTATGCAAGTTGTCTTAGGAGTCGCCTTCATTCTCCTTTTTTCTTGTCCTGGGGCCAGTTATCTATAACATTTAAGACTGCATCAGTCTGAGCTCTTCTGATGCCTCTTGCCTCCTTCGGGATGCTCTTCCCTATTCTTCCTGCCTCACTCCCAGTCATCCTCAGGTCACAGCTGGATGCCATTTCTTCAGAGAGGTCCTCAGTGGTCCTTTCAGTCTTAAGTGGAACTGTTTTATTTTTCTCTTTCATCGAACGCTGTTATTTTTCTCTTTTCATTGAATTCTCTTGTTCTTCCTTATAACACTTCTCATGATTTGTAAGTACATCTGAAAAACGTTTGGGGCTGGGAGCAGTGGCTGACGCCTGTAATCCCAGCATTTTGGGAGGCTGAGGCAGGCGGGTCACCTGAGGTCAGGAGTTCAAGACAAGTCTGGCTAATATGGTGAAACCCCGTCTCTACTAGCTGGGCATGGTGGTACACACCTGTAATCCCAGCTACTCGGGAGGCTGAGGCAGGAGAATTACTTGAACCCAGGAGGCAGAAGTTGTGGTGAACCGAGATCGTGGCATTGCACTCCAGCCTGGGCAACGAGAGTGAAGCTCTGTCTCAAAAAAAAAAAAAACAAATATCTGTGTCAGGAGGAGACATTTGCCATTATTTTGTGAAAGAGGCTAGAGAAGGTGACTGGCTGAGATTAAATAATGTAAAAATGATAAATGTCAGCTGACTGTGTGTTTAACAAAACACAAAAGTCACTTTAAACCCCATCTCCAGTGTGGCTCTGGACTGCTTTAAATAGCTCCCAGAGAATTTAATGGAAATCTACTAACACCCTGTATCTGTGAATAAAAGGCAAATTGTCTGTATTCTCAGGTCCTAAAATGTATTCTGTCTTTTTCTTGAAATGAACATTTGCACTAACTGGTTATAGACAGTCGAGGTAGGAACACTGATGCGTGCTGTGTGTATTTGCTGGCTTAAGGGGCCGCTTAGTATCATTTAAATCTTATTTGTGCTGCTGTCTATGAAGATTTTTGATCATGCCTTTTGCTCAAGCCTTTTCCTGGACAAGGGATTAAATTTTGCCCAGGAACTCTTATGAAAGAAAGAGACTGCTAAGGCAGATGGATTTGCTAAAAGGCAATAGTTCATATATATAATAAACCTCCAAATTGGTGAACTTTTTGATTACAAGAGTATTGAAAATTTTATCACTGGGTCATATGCTACAAATCTGTTTTCAGAAAACTAATTCACATTTTATAGGGAGAGTACTTTGAGCCACGTAGAAATTATGGCTTGTACACTATTTACTGTTAAGAACATTTATACTCGGTCTTACTCATAATCGCCCGTGGTAGGAACTGGATCATTATCTATTTTTAAAAGAATCAGCAAAGTGATATTTGCCCAATTCCTATGTGAGAAAACCTTCTAGATATGGTAGTGTTGAGATTAGTTAAATTGGGTCTTTCTGAATTCATGGCTAGGTTAGTCATGACATTGATTTCAGCTTCATAATCTTTAAAAAAATCTCTTCTTCATTTTGGCATTTGGTCTTGGCTTCTTTTGACAATATGGAATATTGCAGGGACTCGTCTTTCTCTCCTTTCCTGCAGTTGTATGAGAAGTACTACCATTTTACATTCCAAAAGATGTCACGAAGATAAACTACAGAGATATAAAGTAGTGGTTTTTTTTTATTTTTATTTTTTTAAGTGTGTGTAGGGTCAGCTCCAAGGATTTCAATGAGAAGTTATGAAGAAATACTTTAAATATATACAAATTAGAGAGGATAGAATAGAATACTGAGTCCATTGCCCAGATTAAATCATTATCAAGATTTGACCACACTGGCTTTATTTTTACTTTATTTATTTTTTGTTGAAGTATTTTATAGCAGATCCCAGAAACCACATCACTGTTCTCCTTCATAGCTGTATGCATGTCCACAACATGGGGGGGGTTTCCTTTCATCAGCTTTGCATCTTGATCTACATGCATGTTAAGTACCAACTGTGTTATCAGGCACCCTGCCAGGCATTAAGGACACTCGAATGGATAAGACCAAACCTGTCTCCCAAGGAAATTAAGGATCGATGAGAGAAACAAAAACATGAGATTACAGATGCCTTATGGTACCTGCCAGATAACTCCTATGAGCTGAACTTTGTGCAAAATACAGTGGAAATATAGAAGAGGGACTGGTCGGCTGTGCAGGGCAGGGTGCTGAGAGAAGAGGTCAGGAAGGGCTGTGAGTGGCGGAACTCTTGGGGCAGCGTCTTCAAATATCAGTGGGCAAACAGAGAAAGGTTAGGATAGAAGGAAGGGCCCCTGCTATTTGCATTAGGGAGGAAGCATCCCTTCTTATTCTGCTTGCTCGCCAGTCAGCATCAGCCGAGCGCCCAATCTCATGCCAGGCCCTGTCCTGGGCATGCAATAGTAAGTAACACACAGTCTTCAGGTACAGGAAGTCATACCTGAATGGGGGGATTTTGACACACAAGCAGGTAATTTTAATGCATAACCTCAACAGGGATCTGAGAAAATGGAGGACTCATTCTTAGTGAAACAGTGGAACAGGATGGATCATTAATCATGTCACAGCTAGAGTCAAAGGTTGGCCTGTGTGTTAACCACATTATATTCATTGAATAATAATATTAGTAGCAACTAGCATTTATTGAGAACTTATGATAAATACACTGCTGAAGTGCTTTAAATGGGTTATTGCACTTAAACCTCACAACTTTGACTTGTACTATGACTACTGTCTCCGTTTTACAGTTTGGTGTGGCCCCCTTCTCATCGAGGGTTCACCCCAGAGGTCACCTCCTTGCCCACCTACCCTGGCTGACGCAGCACCACTCAGCCCCATCAGCCCTCACAATTACTGTTCGTGTTTGTCCCAGCATCCACCAGCATGCTGTTTCCCAGGGCTGAGGCCTAACTCTTCCCACAAGAGTGTCAATGCCATGAGAGCAGGCCCTTCATCTCCCTGCTCGTTCTCCTGAACCTGCCCTGCACAGTATTGTGTTCTCAGTAAATACTTGTTAACCAACCGTCGTGAGCTATTATGGACTTTCAGTGCATGGCAGTTTTGTCGGAGTTTGAATGAGCCTTTATGTGTTTTCTCATGGTCTTAAGTTTTGGATCAGCTGGAGCAGTGATTAGCCAGTCTGTGTGATTGGTTATTAGAACTATTGGTAGGCTGTGTGTGTTAACACAGGTTGGCTGGGAGCAGTGGCTCATACCTGTAATCCCAGCACTTTGGGAGGCCAAGGTGGGAGGATCGCTCTAGGCCAGGAGTTCAAGACCAGCCTGGGCAACATGGGGAGACCCTGTCTCTACAGGAAAAAAAACAAAAAAACAAAAAAACATAAAATAAAATTAGTTGGGCATTGTGGTGTATACCTGTAGTCCCAGCTCCTCAGGGGGCTGAAATGGGAGGATTGGATTGCTTGAACCCAGGAGGTCCAGACTGCAGTAAGCTATGATTGCACCACCACACTCCAGCCTGGATGACAGAGAAAGACCCCATCTCTTAAAAAAAGAGATACTTTTCGACTGTCTGTGCATCCAAATTTCTCCATCTTTAATTCAAAGATGCTAAACTATTTTGGAGTGAGCAGCTGTAGAATTTAACTTTTTTTCTAATTTAGCTATCTACTTTTCTTCATTTTTCTCATATTTTAGAGAAATATTTTTGATTTAATGTTCTTGGTTGTTGATAATGAAGGCCCTTCAAATATGAGTATTTTCTTGAAAAAAAAGTATGTCTCTAACTCAGATATATGAAAATCAACTTTTATTCTAAGTTTATTATTTCAAAACAGGTAATTTTAAAAATCAAATCCTGTCTTTGCAGAAGAGAGAAGCTATAATGTAATACCTGTTTTTGCTGTATGAAACCCATGCCAACTTTAAAGTCCTTTTCCAGGGTCATTAAAAACAGAGGAAATATTTTTGGTTGCTCTTTGAGTTTGATGGTTGAGGCATTTGTCTTCAAATTGCCAAGTTTTATAACTTAGATTAACTGTATTTCCTGCACCCTCTCCAAGCACTTTTGTGATGTTTTGTAACTTCCATCACAGGCACGCACAGAGGCTGGGCTGCGGTCCAGATGCGTTTGCTCCATGAACTGGTCTACGCCTCCCGAAGGATGGGGAACCCAGCCCTCTCCGTCAGACACCTGTCCTTCCTTCTACAGACCATGCTGGACTTCTTGTCGGATCAGGGTGAGTGAGCTCAAACCACAATTTTTTTTTTCAAGGGACTGTGAATGAGAGCACTTTAGATGCTGGTTCATGTAAACCCTGGGCTTGGGTTTCAGTGGGTGGGAGACACTGGGCAGCTCCTCGTCGGTGAGAAGGTCCCTGCCCCATGCCTTGGCTCCCTCCTTCCACACTCACTTCTCTGGGACCCCTGTGCCACCTCCTCCCACCTTGACGCCATCCCCTCCTGCTCCTTGGCCGGCCAGCACACTCCACGGCTTTTCCCTCCGCCTCTCGAGCTTCTTCTCAGCCTCCTGTGTTGCTTCCCATTTCCTTAGCCTGCCTTTTATAAAATATAAATGTCAAAGCATAACATTTACATAGAGGAGTACACGACTCGTAGGAATGTGTCTCAGTGATCTCAGTGAATTCTCACCAAGTGGCCACCACTGTAATCAACACCCGGATCAGAGACGGGCATGAGCAGAACCCAGGGGTCCCTTGTGCCCCTTCGAGTCACTGGGTGACTCCATCTTCCCGTCCAGAACCAAAGATGAGGTTTGCGTGTGTTTGCTCTCATGGGGCCATGCGGTGTCTCTGCCCGTTTCAAGGTTGCCTTTCTCCCAGGCTCCTTTCTTGGCCTTCATCTTCTCTTCTTATGCTGCTCCTGGGTGCTCTCTGCTTTTTGATAGCAGGAAACGTGACCTGTTTCCCTACGCACTTGTGGCTCAGCCGCCCCACACCTGCCTTCCTGCCTGTACCCCTGACCCTGGCCCAGTGTGTGGTGCCGGCTGGGTTCTCAGGGAAGTGCTGTCTGCTGTGGAGACTGATGTGTGCAGAGCGTATTGGGAGGTACTCATGGGATCAGCCCCGTGGAAAGAAAGAGACGGAGGCGAGACTGGACAGTGGGAGAAGCTGGGCTTCAGTGCTTTGACACAGGCCTCAGCCGCATGGGGAGCTCTGCACTGCCGTGCCCTGCAGACGTGTCCCATGTTGTTCTGAGGGGCCGGGCCTTTCTCCTCTCTCACTGACCAGCAGTTGGATGCAGGCTACCCTGGGTGATGTGGTTCTCTTCAGCAAGGAGACAAGGCTTCTGCTGACCCAGCAGGGCCTGTGCAGCTGGGAAGCTGTTGGAGAGATCTCTGGCGATGGGAGGGCCGGGACTTCCTGTCCCCGTGCCAGGCCCTGGGTGCTCACCACTCCCAGGAAAGGGTAGGGTCTTGAAGGGCTCTCTCCTGTCGAGGACAGCTTCTGGGAAGGCAGCACTCTCCCCTGGGGAACCGGCTCTCCTCCCTGCAGGCCGTCTGGTTGGCTCATTACTGCCCCCTGCAGTGCTGCTCCATCACTGCTGCTGTCCAGGCAGGGACTCCACTCCCTCACTCTCATGTCCTGGCACCTCACAAATTTCGTACTTCTCTGTTTTTCACATTTCTGAAAGCAGGACATCTTTCTCTCCAGCCCTCCACCCACTGCTTTCCCCTGGCTATTCGCTGTCTGTCTTCGAGTAGGCTCTGGCTCCAGGATAATGTGGGGTGTGCATCTCTGAGGGTAGTTGTGAGGTTTAAATGCACTAATTCTGGCCGGGCACGGTGGCTCACTCCTATAATCTAAGCACTTCCGGAGGCCCAGGTGGGCGGATCACCTGAGGTCAGGAGTTCGAGACCAGCCTGGCCAACATGGTGAAACCCCGTGTTTACTAAAAATACAAAAATTAGCCAGGGGTGGTGGCGGGCCCCTGTAATTCCAGCTACTCAGGAGGCTGATGCAGGAGAATCACTTGAACCCAGGAGGCAGAGCTTGCGGTGAGCCAATGTTATGCCATTGTACTCCAGCCTGGGCAGCAAGAGTGAAACTCTGTCCCTTCCACCCCCGCCCAAGAAAAAAGAAACCCAGTATACACTAAGCAGCCCTCATAGAGCCCCTCTTCTCGCTGCACCTGTTGAAATGCTAGCATTCTTTAAAGGAAACATTGATTTCTCTGTAGTGATTTCCACGGCCATCTCTATGAGAAAGGAATTCTCCTTTTGTGAACTCCCGTGGTTCTTTGTTGCCAAGGTTCTGAAGGCACACACTGCTTATTGTGGCCGTTTGCATCCTCGTGTGGAGTAGCTGTTGTTTGCTATTGAGGACTTCTGGTGACCCAGGTGAATCTCTGCTCTGACCGGGGCCCCTGCGACAGGCATGCAGCTTTTCTGCGTGTATTGGGTCGCTGTTGCTTTTGGGGCTGCATTTGAACTGCGCTTTTCTTGGTTGTACCTGCAGAGTGAGCAGGTAGCCAGCAGGGCCACCGTGGAAGCTGGCTGCATGGCCCATTTGCACTGTGGCATTTCGGTGACGGGAGGGAGCAGCAGGCCAAGGCAGAGCTCCCAGTGCCACCTATGTCTCCTTCTGGGGAGGCTGTGGCTCCGTGGTGGCTTGGGCAGTGGTCTGGTGTTACCTGCTGTAGTGAATTTTTGCTCTCCCCAGCCCCTGGGAGTGCTGCCCACCTCCCCCGCTCTGCTGGGATTTCTTGAGCCTCTCCGTGATCCAGCAACTCTAAGGAGGCAGAGCCTGGACTCTGTTTGTGCAGGGGCTTAGAATCTCGGGTGCCATTCCTGACCCATGGCACATCCATCTGCCCCTGTAGCCAGGACTTTGTTCTCTCCTGGTGGCAGTGTCCCCACACACCTCACCTCAGCAAGCACAATTCCCACGGCTGGTGAGTTGTGACATGGCCCTGAGCCCTTCGCCTGAGCCGTCAGTGTCACTCCTTTGCCTGCTGTGTCTGCTGCATCTTGAACTTCTTCAGCACACACCTTCCTTCCCACAGTAGGGCTGGTGCACCTCCCCTGTCCCCACACCCTGTGCCTTCACCACGTGACTCCTCTTGGGCCTGGCCTCCTCTTGAAAGCCTTCACAAGTCTTTAGCTAGGCCAGGAACTCTGGGCCTCTGCTGTCTTCCTTCCTGCACTTACCACAGTTACAATTCGGTCATCAGTTGCATATTTAGTTGGTCCATGCTTGTCTCCCTCCGTGGGAGAAGACCTCATTCTGCCTGCTCTCTACCTGGAGCTGGACCTGGCAAAGACTAGATGCCAAGCGCATGGCTGCCGAGGTGTGAGTGATGTTGTCACAACCCTTGCCTTCATCATGATTGCTTATGGGAAAGTTGATTCTGACTTGGGTCCTCAGGCATTTTTCAAAAGCACATTCTTGGCCAGACATGGTGGCTCACTCCTGTAATCCCAGCACTTTGGGAGGGTGAGATGAGCGGATCACCTGAGGTCAGGAGTTCGAGACCAACCTGGCCAACATGGTGAAATCCCATCTCTACTAAAAATACAAAAATTAGCCGGGCGAGGTGGCACATGCCTGTAATCCCAGCAACTTGGGAGGCTGAGGCAGGAGGATCACTTGAACCCGGGAGGTGGAGATTGCAGTGAGCTGAGATCACACCACTGCACCCCAGCCTGGGTGACAGAGTGAGACTCCATCTCAAAATTAAAAAGTAAAATAAAATAAAATGCACGTTCTTTTTACAATGAACACATATGTGTGTGTACACTGTATGTGTATGTATACGTATGCTGTATTGTGTTTTTCTGTTGGAGTTTGTATTTCTCAAGGGCATGGGCCATATCTTCCCCTTTGGGTGCCCTGTGGTTTCCATGGACATGGTGAGATGATTGAGCGTGTATGCAGGACCAATAATTGGAGTGACCCATTCCACACTTCTGTGTCAGGCTGATGAACCCGACTGTCTCCACTCCAGACATGTGAGGCCTTGTCTTGTTTTGATGACAGCACTGAGAAGTAGACTGTGTTTCCCAGCCCCACGTGCTCAGAGGTTGATGTTTGCACGCGTGTCCATGAGATGGCCGCCGGGAAGAGCAGAGTGGATGAGCACATAGGGCTCTCCTGTTAGTTGCTCTGTTGCTGTGTTTCTTTTTTGTTAATAGCAGTCATGCATTGTTGATGAGCATCCTTGTGCCTGGGAGTGGTGGTGGGTGTGTGCCTGCCTATCTCCCCTGCCCTTCCTGTCCAGAACGCAGAGTCAGCGTCTTTCTCCGGGTGGCAAAGAAAACCTCTACAGGAAAATACAGCGAGGGTTCTCGGTGATGCTTTAACCTCTGCCTTCCCCTCCTTTTTTTCTTATCCTGTTTATATTATTAAGCTTTGTTCACTTCTAAGCCTATCATGTGATAGTTGTACCTTTTCCTCATGTGATCTTTCAAAAAGGGTGATCTCTATGCTATATTTTTGAGTAATTAGACATTTTGTAACGGGTCACGTTGGAGGCTCTTTTAATATATATGTGTAAAATAAGTAAATGTGAATTCTTATTGAAACAGCATGTTTAACCGTGGCCTGTGGTCTTCACCAGCCCTAAGTGAGGACGGAGGCTTTGAGTTGGATGTGGCTCGTCCATTAGACTCCTTGTCTCCCTCACGTGGTCACGACTGGCCATTGCTTTTATGGCCAGAGCGCTTAGTTAATTCCCCCCCATGCTGTGATCTCTCTTCGGTGTATCTTCTCCACACTCGTCTCCTGAAGACAGTTTCTTTTTCTTTCTTTTTCTCTTTTTAAGATCTACCAGGAATATTGGAGGAGAATATATGTTGAAAATCTGAGTTTGAGTTAGTCATGGTAGGAAGTTTTCTCCATTGTATTTGTAGAGTGAGTGAGGAGAGATTTGTCATCTCAGTTTGGATGACTGACAAAGCTGCAACCAGACTCAGCTAGATTTCAAATCAGGCGGTTTATGGGAAAAGAGAGGAGGAGCTATGATCATGAGGTATTTCTAAGATCCGTTGTTTTTGGTGGATTGTTAATTCCCGGTGAGAAAACAGAGAATGAAATCAGTATGCTTCCATATGGGCTGTGTTTCCATTAGATGTAAATTGCGTTTGATTTTTGATGATAAGTCAGCATAACCGTCTAGAGGTGTCAGGTGCCCCTTGTCCTGGAAAGAGGACGCACACTGTGATTGATGGGGTCCTGGCTGTATGTTTTTAGGTGACAGGGAAATTTGTTTACCCATGAAA